ATTCCTGGAAAATGAAGAAATTAAACTCAAGTGTTCCTAAGATTTTATTTTCAAATCACAATTCTGTACAGCCACATACTTTATTCATTTTTAAAGATTTTATTTATTTATTCATGAGAGAGAGAGAGAGAGAGAGGCAGAGGGAGAAGCAGGCTCCCAAGGAGCAGGGAGCCCAATGTGGGACTCGATCCCAGAACCCTGGGATCATGACCTGAGCCGAAGGCAGACGCTTAACCATCTGAGCCACCCAGGCACCCCAGCCACATACTTTAAATTGGAACCATGAGATGAATCATCTTAAATGTTGTAAATAATTAAAATACCAAATATGTATAGGTTTTTCTAAGTATGAATGATTACTATTAGGGATTTGCTTTGCAAACATTTCTGTACTTAAGTCTTAGGGTCGAGGATGCTAACCTACCAAGGCAACAATCATGGAATCCCATATAATTTCAGCATTCCCTTCCTAAGTGGTTGTTGGGATTGCCTTTGCACCTGACCAAGGATTCATGTGTGTGTGTGTGTGTATGTGTGTGTGTGTGCGTGTGTGTTGGTAAGTGAAGTTTATTGGAATACAACCATACCCATTCTTTTAAATAATATCTCTGCTGTTTTCACAGTGACAGAGTTAACAGTTGTGACAGACTGTATGACCCATGAAGCTGAAAATATGTTCTATCTGGCCCTTTGGGGAAAATGTGCTGACCTGGTTGCAAAATATTATTTTTCCTTTCTCATTCACCTTAATGTGTTCGGCAATAGACATACAATTGTCCTTTCTTCCAGACGGATTACAAATGATCACAGCATCATTTATTAAATAGTCCAGCCTTTATGATTGAGGATTCTTAATGACCAGTGAGACCCTTAGCCAAAATGCCCCCCTGGACCCTTGCCCTGGACCCCTAACGAGTTGCTATGGCAGTCAGTGCCCTCTAAGTGAAGTCTTCCAGGAGCCAGGGCTGAGGGTTAAAGTCCTGTCATTACCGGATTTTTCTATTCCTGGAAGATCATAACTTCCACTAAGAAAATAACTAATGACCTTCACTGCTTGGGTTGGTTTTGCATGTCTTTATTTTTTTAAAGACATTTAACTGGTTTCCTGGCTAAGTGGACATTTTTAAACTTGAGAGAACTGTCCTAAGGCTTTGCCTGACTCTGCAAAGCAGGTTATTCTAACAAACCATACTAATTTAACATCTATAGATTTTCTCTGATGCAGTGTATGGAACTGTGAGTTACAACTCATTTATGAGCCTTGAATCACCTTAGAATTATAGTGAACATTTAAAAATATAATAGAATTAAATGGAAAATATCAGAAGGCATTACAAATTATAAGGATAAATAATATTTGGGGGTGCCTGCTGGTTCAGTCAGTAGAGTGTACAGCTCTTGATTGCAGGGTTTTGAGTTCAAGCCCCTCATTGGGTATAGAGATTACTTAAAATATCTTTAAAAAAGGGATAAATTGGGGTGCTTGGGGTGGCTCAGTTTGTTAAGCATTCAACTCTTGATTTCGGCTCAGGTCATGATCTCGGAATTGTGAGATCGAGCCCTGTGTCGGGCTCCGTGCTGAGCACAGAGTCTTCTTGAGATTCTCCCTCTCCCTCTGCCCCCTGCTCTCTCTCTCTCTCTCTCTCTAAAAAAAAAAAAAAGGATAAATATTATTTTTGAGACTTTGGTTTCATATGTATGTATTTAGATGTACATGAATTTCTTACCGTGGGTCACTATCAAATTTCAAAAACTTCCATGTCAGGGTCAGGTGGGGAAAACTGAGTGAGCCTGGCACACACACACACACACCAGCAAGCAGTGATCATAAACTGATAGGAGGAGGTGAGCAAGAAGAAAACAAATACAAAAACACAGCCTTGGTTAATACAAACATATACAAGCTCAAAGAATAGAGCCAGCAGCAGTCCCAGAGTAGGAGGACAAATTATTGTTACTAAAAAGCATAGTTGGATCATAGATTTTCTGGTATGTCTGCTCCTTCCCTCTGGGCTTCTTGTTCACTATTTCCTTTTGGTAGCACTGGCTGGCCCAATGTAGACACTTTCCAAAGAAGTATTTATTGAATGTAAATACTAGTAATTAGACCACCTGTTTCAGAGGATCTGGGGGAAGGAATCTGAGGTCTGGGAATTTGTATTTTAACAAGCTTTCCAGGCAGCAGCCTGTGGCTGTGGCAGACCAGTATTTAAGAAACACGGACTTATTCTACCTGCATGTTTTCCTGACCCAGGTCACACACACAGCTAACGTTAGAACCAGAGCTGGAGGGCGTCTGGGTGGCTCAGTCGGTTGGGCGACTGCCTTCGGCTCAGGTCATGGTCCTGGAGTCCCGGGATCGAGTCCCGCATCGGGCTCCCTGCTCGGCGGGGAGTCTGCTTCTCCCTCGGACCCTCTTCCCTCTCGTGCTTTCTATCTCTCATTCTCTCTCTCTCTCAAATAAATAAATAAAATCTTAAAAAAAAAAAAAAAAAAGAACCAGAGCTGGAACCTGGGTTGCCCTGCTTCTGCTGGAGGACTTTACCCATAACTTCACCAGCATCTCACATTGACCGCTTCTCACCAAATGCATTGCACAACTTTCTAATAAATCCTGAACTCCATGCTTTCTCACTGTCCCACCTCATCTTCTCAGTTGTCCTCAGGCATTTTCCTAAATCGCCCATCATTCCATTTTCCTACCCTATACCTTTGGCTTTATCTTTATCGCCGGTAACACTGAGACCAATGCCCTAGCGTATCATTCAGGGCCTGCCACAGTGTGCCCCCAGCCTGTCCCCTCAATATCTTCTCTCTCTGCCAGTCTCCCAAATCTCTCCTATATCCATCTCCTTCTGCTGGGGGACCCCAGAACACTCGGCATACCCCAACACACCTTCCCCTTCCCTGACTCTGATCTTCTGTATATGTTGTATCCTCCAAGTGGAACAGCCTGTTTTCCTCTGAATTACATCCATCCTGCCAGGCCAAGTTCAAGGGCCATGTCTATAAAATCTTCCCTCAGTGAGTTAATCATCCTTCCTTCTTTGCTTCTCTTTGTTCTTTGCTCATTTTTTTTT